CACAATTCGAGCAGCCTACGAATATCAGGGACAGAAATGCAGTGCCTGTTCACGAATTTATGTCCCGGAAAGTCTATGGCCTGCGCTACAGCAAAAACTCGCAGCTATACAAAAGGAAATTAAAGTTGGCGATGTAAGTAGCAACAAGTTTTTTGTTTCAGAGATTTTCACAGACTTAATTATCATACTTTGATGGGGCCTTGGATAACATGAACGAAGAAAACTTAAATTGAATACTTAAGCAGTAGCTTTATGTCATTGACGCCCATTGTCATGCCATCAATGCAGTACTGGCAACTTCTCCATTCTTCTCGTTATTGAGCTGTCCGAGTGTCGAACGCGATACCGTACAGGCGTACCATGGTGTCTCTCACACCTCACTGATGGCCTCCCCAGTGTTCGCTTGACTGTGCATGGATGCCATTCCATTATCCGCTTCATCCATTCATTATCAGACATCCGTGCCACATGACCAGTCCACATCTCCTCTTCCTGGCGTACATTGCTACTAGTAATATCTTTCACGCCAGATCTGGCTTGTAGCACTTCATTTGGAATGTACTGTAGCCTCTGTTGGCGCCAGTCATCCGTCGCTTCATTACTCTTTGAGATACAGCCAGTTTTCGTTCTTCAGCAAGCGTGGTGTTCCACGTCTCACACCCACATAAAATGGCTGGTAGGACGGAAGTTATAATAGAAAAGAGTGGAAAAAGGAGAAAAAAAGAGAAAAAGGACGGTAAGAAATGAAAATTAGAAAATTTATGAGATAAAAACGGACCCTAGTGCCCTGCAGGTATATCAGACCAGTTTTACGGTGGTAGATTGACAACCCCGTGGGACGGCTAAGAATCTCAGGTGTCCAAAAAGTGGCGCCAAGCAATGATTTTGCGAATTGATATCGGAATTATTGCTTCAGTTTCTCCTTATTTTGTTATTTTCCTCTGTTGGAACTTATAATTTAAGGTACGCGATGGATCAATATTCATGACGGCAGTTATCGATGCAAAAGCCTTCAAAAGTATCACAGGATATATTGATTATGCAAAAACGGGAGCCGATGGAGCGAAAATTATTTTTGGTGGAACATACGATGA